ATATTTCTCCTAGAAACTCTAATAACTGCATAAAAGAGTTACCAATCCACCCTCTCAAGCATTTTAAGTGGAAAAGACGAATGCAAAAAGAGAGCTTTGAATATTTTGATCACTCGTAAATTTGTTCATTCATTTTATTAAGCAACTTGTAAAACTTTTTCGTTTCTCCATTTGGCTCTTGAACACATCCACTTCTTCTCATATCAGTGAAATCATTAACATCATTGTCACAATCATTTTCTCTAATAGATTGATGATGACTATGCATATTAAATGCATCTTGCAACATACCTTCCATGTGATCTTCTTTAACAGATCGATGGTGAGAATTAGAAGGATAAGTCGAATAACTCGTGGAAGAAGATCTATGAGATGTAAACTCTCCATGAAATACATTTTCTATAGCCCCGAACAAAGCCAAAAACAACTAGATGCTCATAGACAACTTCACGAATGTGTTAGTTAATGTTAGCACACTTCTTACAAGGGAAAAAAATCATATTCTCTTCGCTTTCATTCAGAAAAGCTAAATTTAGAAAAGATTATACTCAATTTCGATATTCGTCGCTTACCCTTGACAAATTCATCCAACTCTTATCCATTTTGTATTTATGGAATATCAATTTCAAATGTTATTTTACCTATATACATAAGGGAATAAAAAAGCTATTTTACCTATTTGTTATAGCTTCAGAATATTACAAGACAAATTTCTATTGCATTTTTCAATATTCATGTAAAGAGTTAGAAGTCATGATTAAGAAATGTAAAACTAAATTTTTTTAGTAAATAAAGTTTTACTTTTTATTGCATGTTGGTCTCACCTGGAAGGGTTATTTTTCTGATCCTTGATTATTTACACAGTTTTGGTCGGCTGTGTTTTTAGTAAAATCATATGGTATTTTATATTACAAAACATAGCATCATGAGACTAACCTACATACTTGTAAAGAAAACTGCACTGAGTGTTTATGATTACTGTACACACATGTTGTACATGTATGAGAGAAAAAATACCTCTTTTACTCTCAGCAAGCTTTCGTCTGTTTTTCTATCTGTTTTCATGATTTTCAGTTATTCTGAGTCCTTGTTCATCAACCAAACTTTTCTCCTTTTCCAAATCAAATTCCACGAAAGAGATAAAAACAGAAATGAAATTGATACACATCCCAACAATAATTAGTTTCCTGCTTCATTATACTTAGACATTTGAGCAGAAGCTAAACAAATAATGTTTAAGGTACAAAGAAAGAGGAGTACGAGAAGAACAAGAACACCAGATTCTTTCACTTTCTTAATTCGTATATATTTTTATAGTATATAAAATCAAAATGAGAATTGAAATGGAAATCCTGCAAATGAAATGAACTGGCCTAATCAACAAGGTATCTTCTTACTTCGATGTGTAAACAAACACCAGATTCTTTCACTTTCTTAATTCCCAAACAAAAAAAGTTGGGTTATTGTGCTGGGTTTTGTCTGATTTTAAAGGTTACATACACCTTCTTCAACTTCATCTACTATTTATTTTAATTTTATAATATTCCTTCTTTCTTTTATTTGGTAAGGAATTAAGGATCAATGAACCTAAGTATTTCCTCATTTTATTCATCGCTTAAATAATTCAGTGCATTTGTTTAGCTTTATGCAGCAGAGGAGTATTTATACAACTTACATCAATATCTTTAGCTTTGACATTCTTTTATTTAGCTGAATTTGGATTTTGAATCTCAATAAGGCCTTGGGTCCCTTTCCGTTTCTGCCATAATAACACTGATAATGTTAAGTATAAAAGGTGCTTAATGCAAATGGAACCAATGCCATTATCATTAGATGAAAAAAGTACCCAAAATAATGACCTCGTGCTCTTCTTCTATCTCCTCTTCAGACTCTTCTCCTTATTCTTCTTCCTCCACTTCAGCTTCTTCCTAGAATGAAAGCTGTCATCTTATTCAACATGTGAATAAAAATACAAAAAATATACTCATTCATATCTATAAGGGAAGGGACAGAATCAATTATGTTAAAATCTAACGCAAAAATGTCACCTTCCTGAAAGTACGTGGCCTAGCTGAGCTACCAGCACCGACCGTTAAAACATTAAAAGGAAAACACAGTGAAATCAATAATAAAACTTTTAACCACGAAGAAAAGCACAACAATTTTGAACATATTTAGTATTTTTGCCTCTAAATTTAATTCAAAACTCCAACTTTTAGCCGAACATATTGGAAGAGAAAAAGAATATATATATATATAGGAATAAACAAAAAATTTTGAATCTAACGATTCATGCATTTAATAAACAATCACTTCCATGTTTATTTGAATTAGTTTTACAATTAAACAACTCTCTATTTTCTCCATGTACGTAGCAACCAAATTTCACACAAACAGAATAATATTAAATCCAAGTTGAGATTTGAAATCTTAAGCCGAAAAAAAGAGATAGGGCATTGAAGGTTTTACCAGACGAAGCAAAGTGACGCCTGAAACTATTAGATTCAATCGTAGATTTGGGCTTCAGCGGGGAACAACTGCAACAGAGCAACAACCGAAAGGTAAAACAACAATGGCAGTCTACAGGAAAATGAGGGAAGATAGGGAAGAAGAGGTTCAAAAGAATTAGGGATCGGGTAGGAGAAAGGGGGAGATATATTTATCCTTTTGCGACGTTTACAGTAAAAAAAGCCACTAATGTACGTGATTTTACGGCGTTTTTATAACAAACGCCACTATTTTCGAGTCTATCGCTGCGTTTGTACAAAAAATGCCACTATAGATGAATCTTATTGCGGCATTTGTATAAAAATGCCACTAAAGTAATACTATGTTGCGGTGTTTGTTGAGAAAAAACCACTATAAATGAACCCTATTGTGGAGTTTGCATAAAACGCCGCTAAAGTACTACTCTGTTGCGGTATTTGTTGAGACAACATCAATATAGATGAACCCTATTATGGTGTTACTATAAAAACGCCACTAACGTACTACTCTGTTGCGGCATTTGTTTAAAAAATGTCACTATAGATTAACTCTATTGCGGCGTTTTTGTAAAACTGCCGCTAAAGTACTACTCTATTGCAGTGTTTATATAAAAACGCGGCTAAAGTTACCATTTTGTGGCGTTTGGAATATAAACGCCGCTATATTTTTAATGTTAGTGGCGTTTTGCTCTCAAAACACCCCTAAAAACGCCGTTGTAGAACAATTTTGTTGTAGTGAATTGAAATCTCAATTGATTTCAAATACAAAATCAAAAATTCCAATAAACAGAAAATTAATTCTCATTTATTTTCGATTTTGTTAATGAATGAAATCAATATTCTGAAACAAAATCAATAATCAAAGTTACTTTCACGACAATTTATGTTATACAAATTTATCCACTTTGAGATTTTAGTAAACCCGTTAAGACAACAGGATAAATCTCCAAACAAATTTGTTTACTATCTTGTTTATCCCACAATTCCGAATTATCTCGGATTAAGAAAGTAGAAGATGAAAGATTTGTCATAAGATTGTTATTCGGAGTAACAATCTGAGGCGAAATTCAAAACCTAAGAAAATAAAATAAAGAAATTAATTTCTTTAAAAAATAAATTAAACAAATGAAAGATAAAATACTTTTTATTTTTATTTTTAGATCGGAGATAGTTGAGTCCTATCGCTACATAGTTTTCTTAAGACAAATTTTTCGGTCATTCCTTTGGTGCTGGAGTTTGTTCATCGTCTGTATCCCATGATAGAACAACTTATGATAAGCTATAGTAGCATATCTACAAAGTTTACAAATGATCATTACCTTTGACTATCACCGAAAAACTAGTGGAAAAGAATATTTTCTAAGAATGAGAGAAATTTTTCAATTGAATAAAAGTTCTTCAATTCTAATATGAAAACTTATTTATAATTCAACTTGTGAAACTTATGTTTACCCTAGCAGGTTAACCCACTATTTATAGGGAAATCTCAAGAGAGTTTTACTCTAAATATATATATTTTAATATAAAAAAATAAACAAATAATTACATCTTTTACTATTCAATATATATACTCCTTTTACTATTTAAACTTAAACAAATATCATTTTAACTTGAAATATTCAAAAGTATATAATTTATTTTTAATATTCAAAATTAATAAGATAATAAAGACATTTGTAAATTGACATATTCAAAGAGTAATTATTCTACTAGTATTCAAATTAAATAATATCTTTTAATTTTTAATATTTAAAAAGACTCTAAATTTAATTTAATTATTAAATCCATCAAAATAATTCATTTTTCCAACAAATTAAAAATAAAAATAAATAAAAAGAATACAAATACAAACAAATACATCCTAAATGATCTTTTATAAAAAAAAAAACTATGCCGATCTCACTAAACTTTAGTTTTATTCAACGGATTAGTTTAGATGTCAATTTCCGTCAATGCAATGATGTGGTCAAAATGATGTTATTTTATTTTATATATATTAATGCTAAAACATAAATTTGATTTTAAAATTTTATTAACCATTCAATTTATGTATTATTTTGTCATTAAATTTTAAAATGCTTTAATTTTAAGCACTAAACTTTTTTATCACAGTTGATGATCAATTGATTTTTGTCACAGATGGTCGCAATAAAATAAATATTAAAACATTCATATTTTACTCATTTTATTATCTTAGGATTAGTTTTTTATGGAACCCATTAAAAATTGATGAAAATATAACTAAATGTTAAATGTGTTAATACTTCGATCTTCTTCGATGATCGTCCGATGAAACTAATTACAACAACCTTGTATGAACTTGTTAACTTGAGTTTCATCTTGAAATTATTTTTCTAAATTACAACAGAAGGAAATAAATATATAGGAACATACTCGTTCTTTGGAGAGCAAAATCTAACACCAAAAAGAAACCTGAAATAGGAAGTGGAAATTGTGGAAAGCTAAAAAGAGTGAAGCCGAAGCCAAAGCTTTGCCAAATTAATGAGGAAACTATTAGGCTTTTGTTTCTTCTAATGGAGCAGCAGTTTTGGTAGTGGTAATTTGCTCGTAGAGATCTCTAATCTTCAACCCAACAATGGTCTGGAAGAGACCGGTTCCGTTGTTACTTCCAGGGAAATCAGAATGCTTCAGCATTTGTTGAGTTACTTCTCCATTGAACTTGGTAGATAGGTTGCTCAAATGGCTTTCAACGTAAATCAGTTCATCTAATCTATCAAATTGGGTTAACAAGAAGTACACAACTCCAGAGTTCAGGGATGCACGGAGGAGAAGGAAGAATACCTCGTTGCCGAAGTACGAATTGGGTCCGTAGGCGAATTTGATGCCAGGGTAAGAGCAAGTGAGCTTCCTTCCGCATTGTATCCTTGAGATGGTTGAGCCTTCATCAAACAGGTAAACTGGACTGAAATGCTCCACCCCTTCTTTCATTATCAACCTAACCCTCAAAACCTTCCCCTCGTTGTCGTCCGGAATCAACTGAGTCGGCAGCACTTCGATCACTGCATCAGCGTATTGCTTCTGAGGATCTGCAGTGCACCCACCAAATACAAGATTATTGTAACTTTGTATACATGTAGTTACCAATCTACCATTGCTCGATGTGTACGGCTCCTTGTAAATACGTAGGGTTTATACCAATATAGGCATCGAAATCGGGCTTCCTGGATTCGCTACTGGCTTTAATGCTCTCAAGGCTGTGTCCTCTCTCAGCCATGTCCCTCTGCAATGTTTCTAACAAAAATAAGATGATGCTAACGGGCAAAATCCAGGCTTAGAACAACATTTTTTTTCCACATTACAATACAAAGTACGTCACCTGAATTTTCCATGCAAATTTGACCTCATTGCTGATGTCCAAATAGATACTGAAGTCCAACAGATCCCTTACACGCTCATCAAACCTATATTGAAGCACCCCAATTTGCATCAACATTTGTTGTTTAAAAAAGGGCAAAAGGTTACTAGAATATACCAGTGAATATTTGTTTAATAACAACTTAAAATAAAAAGTACATGCAGGCCCTACAGCCTAGAGGAACAATACTTTGATTAATGCTAAACTTATCAGAAAATAAAAAATGCATATAGAGTAAAAGAATGGTTGTGGATCGTAGTTTTGGGCTTACATGGGGTGCAGCCCATCGATAACAAGGATCTTTGGAGGCTTAATTAGCTCAGGAGGATCCAAGAGACCCGTAACATGGTTGCAGATAGGTTTCTCGACGGCAATTCCACTCTTGAGAGCCTTAACTTGGTCATACATGAGGTCAAAGTCGTTGGCTCTTGGGTCAAATGCCGTCACTTCCTTCTCTTTCCTTCCGGTTCTGTCAAGATGAGGGGTTTGGGGGTGAGGCAGCCTGTGCCATGCATTATGCAGTGAAGTAATATTTAAGGGGTCATTTCATTTTCATATAAAAAAGAAATAAATGGGCGAAAAAACTAGGAGTGAAGAAATTAACAACAGCCTACCGTTTGCAAAATGTTTTAACGCACTTGCAGGTGCTTGTTTTATTTTCATGTAAGCACAAAGATGCTCGGCCTGCCTTATTTCAAAATCAAGCAAATGGTGTTTTCCTTCTCGTTACTGATGTTAGGCCACAATGGACCTTCTCAAGGTTTTTTTCCCCATTACGGCACACGGCTATATTATTTTGGCTCAATATTGGCGCAGTGAACTTTATTTTGGCAAATAGGACAAATTCTATAGTGAAGGAAACTCTTCAACTTGAGGTGACGAGTTTCATCGAATATATTATTTTATTGGTCTCAGATGAGTAAGCTCCAGTAAGACCATTATTTTTAATTTATTAATGAGACTCATCCCCTTAAAGTGACGAATCCCTTAAAAATATTTTTAAGAAAATAATTTGTAAAATAATTTTAAAAAATTAAAAGTAAAAATATTAAAAAAAAGCCATTTATAGTCGTTAGTCAATGGGAAACAATAACGGTCAGGTGACGAGTTCAGTCTGATTTTTGAAAAAACTAGTCGTTTATAACCGTTGGAATTGAGGTTATAAATAGGTGTTTTGGGTTTAGGTCTTTTACCATCCATTGTTACGAAAAAAAATGAGAAACATTTTTCATTTCTAAAGAAATCTCGAAAAATGGCTTCCCGACAAGAAATGTTACGTCTCGATAATGTTCATATTTTGTAGTTCGAACTCCCTTCGGAAGAAGAACACGAAATTTGTCAACGCGGAATGACATCGAGAGATCTGCATCCGCAGATGATGATATATCTTTTCCAATCCGGTCTATATCCAGTCATATTTCTACGTGGCTTTAAGGTGAACCCGACATTGATTTTAGCTTTGATTAAACATTGGAGGCTTGAGATGCACATTTTCCATTTCTCGAGTGGTGAAGCGATGATTACTTTGGAAGACGTTGCTTACCCACTGGGTGTTCTAGTGAATTGTTTCGTCATCATGAGGCTGAACGATTACAACCCCATCGGTATTTTCTACGAAGTTTTGGGAAGGATGTCACCACCCGATGTCTTAGACAGATATCGGATACAGATGACCTAGTTGGAGTCAGAATTTCAAGTGACGGGTGGCTCTACTGAGGAGGTGGTTATTTTTTACATCCCGAGTGTATATTCTCCAACTGATTTGAGGGATATTATTACCAAATAAATATGGTAATTAGGCGTACACTCAATATCTGCCTATATTAAATAATTTTACTGAGTGTCGTAATACTAGTTGGGCTCAACGATTTTGGCATTTTTATAACTGGATCTTTGCAAAACTGCAATCGTTGAGAGGGGTCAAAAGGTCGATGTAACAGGCTGTCTAATATTACTACAATCATAGTCTTGGTGTAACACCCATCTCCCGTATACCCATGCGTATACGAAGCACAGATGTCACATTACTAGTATTAATGTTCCTAATACGAAAACACGTAAAATTTTGTTTCATTTTTATTTTTATAAAAATATTTAACTTTCTTAAAACAAAACATATCTTAACTTAAATGAACAACAAAAAGAGATGTTTAAACACTTCATAATTTTACAACCTTTTAATCAAAATACTTATCAAAGTGTTTCTACTACACCCTATTACATGCCAACTAAAATATAACAAAATGTAGACAGGTGTGTCATACGGTTACTAATGAGGCGACTCTGACTAGATGTCCAAAAGATTTCCTTACTCAGCTATACTTAACCTACACATGAAATAAGCACACATTAAGTATTACGTAGTGAGGCCTGATTAATCTCAAGTAAAATTCTAAACACAAGTTATTAGATTATACTTCTCATTCCAATGAATCTTTAAATACGGTAGGTAAGTATGTATATTGTATCACTGATGCTTTTAACCTCATTTATCAAACATTACTAGACTCTATAAATTCAATTGGAATTTCATACAATCAATATGATTTTCTTACCATTTTAGCACACAAAGTGCCATATATGGAAATTGATACACTTAGTATGATTTCCTTACCATTTTAGCACACAAAGTGCCTTATCTGGAAATCCATACACTTAGTATGATTTCCTTACCATTTTAGCACACAAAGTGCCCTTTGGTAATTTACCATACATTCATCCATAAATCATACTATCATGACTATTATGGTAAATACGTACATAATTAAATGCACTCACCCGATTCACCTTGCTGAAATATTCAAACTAGGAAGATGATTATTCCAGAACTTGACCATTTCCTTTAGCGTTACTCGACTCGGGAGCTTGATTTTGATCTATCCAACATTCATTAAATACATGTGCAATGTCAATTGTTAGTATATTTCCTAAAACTTATAACTTAAGATTAATCAAAATATTTATTTTCAACTTCCTACGTCATTATCAGAACATAAACATATAATTTGATTCTAATAACTTAAGCTACTTAAAGAACAAAATTCACATTTCCCCTCAAGAGGTATCGGTACCCCTAAGTACGGTATCAATACTTCCCTTTAGAAGGGTATCGATACACTACTGGGGTATCGATACCCAAATTAAATTCGATGTTTACAGGTATCGATACCCCTTAAAGATGTTCATCAAAATTATTCTTAGGGTATCGGTACCCATTCATAGGGTATTGACACCCCTTGCCCAGAACAACCTATTTTCACCCGAAAATTATCAACACTTCACCAAATTTTCATATATAAAGCCCTTGTTATGCTACCAAACTCCACTATAAACAATTTAACTAACTTTCCTTCATTTAATCTCCTAGAACATCTAAAACCATTCAAGAACATTCTATTCTAAGAATCAAACCACTTTTTCTAATATGTTTTTAATCAAGACCAAGGCTTCTAATCTCTTATATACCTATTTGACAAGTCAAATTTACAAATAAACATCCATAAACATTCCTATTTCAACATATCTCTCACAAACCCATTTTTTTCAATCTCTAATATTTCCTTCATAACTTAGTTTTGATCCCCTTTTATCCTTCCATAAGCTTCTAGTATACTCGATGCATAAAAACCCCAATAAAAACCAAGGAGTAAACTAATAAATTAGAAACTCACCTTTGAGTTATGGAGAAAAGTTAAGCACGAGAAGAAGAAGAAGAAATGGAGTTGACCAAGTTTTTTCTCCCTTTTCCCCACTCTATACTTTAATACAAAAAAATGAATTTAAAATTCATCTAAATCCCATTTGACTAAAATATCCCTTCATTCCTTCATTACTACAATTTAGCTCTAAACTATTATTCCCAAATCATTCTCATCTTATATAAATTAATCAAATAAATTCTAAATTCTTAAATCCTTTCAATAAAGTCCCTAATTAAACATTTAAGGCATTACAATTCTCCTCCTTAATAAAATTTGTCCCCGAATTTTAAAGAAATACCTGAAGCAAAGAGATGTGGGAACTGCTTTTTCATATCCTCCTCTCTCTCTCCCAGGTAACCTCCTCCGCCTTATGGTTCTGCCAAAGCACTTTGACTAACAGAATCCTTTTATTACGTAATTCCTTAGTTTTTTTTGCCAAAATCTGCACCGGTTCTTCATACGTCAAATTTGGTCGGTTTTCTATTTCTTCAGGGGTGATAACATGTGAGGGATCTGATCTGTACCTCCTAAGCATAGACACATGGAAAACATTGTGGATCTTGTCCATATCCGGAGGCAGAGCTAATTGATAAGCCATGAGTCCAATTCTTTTCAATATCTCATACGGTCCAATAAATCTCGGACTTAGTTTTCCTTTTCGCCCAAATCGTAATACCTTCTTCCAAGGCGATACTTTTAAAATACTTTATCTCCCTCCTGATATTCTATTTCTTTTCTTTTTAAATCCGCATAAGACTTTTGTCGATCAGATGCTATCTTTAAATTAATATGAATAATCTTTACTTTATCTTCCATATCTTTCATCAAATCTGAACCTACTAATTCCCGATCTTTCAATTCAAACCAATTTAATGGTGTTCTGCATTTTCTCCTATATAGAGCTTTATACGTGGCCATCTTAATACTAGATTGATAACTATTATTATACGCAAATTCTGCTAAAGGCATATATCTTTCCCAAGATCCCTCAAATTCAATCACATAAGCCCTAAGCATATCCTCCAATATTTTGAATAGATCTCTCTGATTGCCCATTTGTTTGGGGATGAAAAGCTGTACTAAAATTTAGTCGAGTACCCAATGCTCCATACAAAGACTTCCAAAATCTTGAAGTAAACCTGGGGTCTCGATTGAACACTATTGAAATCAGAACTCCGTGCAGTCTAACTATCTCTTTTATATACAGCTCAACATACTTATTCATTGGGTAGTCTACTCGAACGGGAATGAAATGAGTCGTTTTGGTCAATCTGTCTACAATTACCTAGGTCAAATTCTTTTTACCCGGTGTTAACGGTAGCCTTGAAACAAAATCCATCTTGACCTTCTCCCACTTCCACTCAGGAATAGATATAGGCTGAAGTAACCCGGATGGAACCTGATGTTCAGCTTTCACTTGCTGACATGTCAAACATTTGGCAACAAACTCTGTAACAGTTTTTTTCATGCCATGCCACCAGTAACGACTTTTCAAATCATGATACACCTTATTCCCGCCTAGGTGCATAGTCAAAGGGCTATAATGAGCTTCGTAGAGAATATCTCTCCTCGGATTCTCATAATCGGGAATATAAAGCTTTCCCCGGTAATATAGATATCCATCATCTTTTCTTTCAAAATCTTTGTTCTTTTCTTTTTCAATCAATGCCAAAATCATCAAACACTTTTTATCTCTCCTTTGCAGTTCTTTTACTCGATCCAATAATATCGATTTTAATTTTAATTCGACAATCACAACACCATCTCCATACACGGACATACATGCGTCTAAAGCCCTCAAAGTTACAAAAGTTTTTTGCGACTGAGTGCATCCGCTACCACATTAGCTTTTCCCGGATGGTAGTTGATAATCAAATCATAATCTTTCAAAAGCTCTATCCATCTTCTCTGCCTTAAATTCAACTCTTTTTGAGTCAGCAAAAATTTTAGACTTTTATGATCTGTGTAACCACGGCAATGCTCCCCGTAAAAATAATGGCGCCATATTTTTAAAGCAAACACCACTGCAGCCAATTCTAAATTATGTGTCGGGTAATTTCGCTCGTGAGTCTTCAATTGTCTGGAGGCATAAGCCATAACCTTCCCTTCTTGCATCAGCACACAACCCAATCCATTATGGGAGGCATCACTATACACGACATATTCTTTACCTGACTCGGTTGCACTAGCAGTAGAGGCTCAGTTACAATTCTCTTTAACCACTCAAAGCTCTCTTGGCACTTCTCAGTCCAAACAAATGGCACATCCTTTCGCAAAAGTCTAGTCAGTGGTAGAGATAATATTTGAAAAATTCTTTACAAATCGTCTGTAATAACCTGCAAGCCCTAAGAAACTCTGAACTTCCGTAATATTCTTGAGAGAATGCTTATCTACTATGGCTTGAATATTCTTAAGGCCCACTCGAATACCTTCTACCGACACTATATGACCAAGAAAGGAAATCTCAGGCAACCAAAATTCGCATTTGGACAGTTTAGTATATAACTTCTTATCACAAAGTATCTGAAGGACCACTCGAAGATGAGCATCATGACCCCCCCTTTGACTTGGAATAAACCATGATATCATCAATAAACACTACCACAAACTAATCCAAGTATGGTTGAAAAATTATGTTCATTAAATCCATAAATTCAGCAGGAGCATTTGTTAATCTAAACGGTATTACTACAAATTCGTAATGTATGTACCAGGTTTGAAACATCGTCTTGGAAATACCCCTTTTCGATCCTTAACTGATGGTACCCTGAGCTCATATCTATCTTAGAGAACACTGATGCGCCTTTCAATTGGTCAAATAGATAATCAATCCTTGGAAGATGATACTTGTTCTTTATTGTTACCTTATTCAGTTGACGATAGTCAATACATAACCGCATAGACCTGTCTTTCTTTTTCACAAATAACACAGGAGCTCCCCACAGAGAGACACTATGTCGAATAAATCCTTTCTCGAGTAATTCTTGCAACTGAGCCTTTAGTTCCCTTAAATCTGGTGGAGACATCCGATACGAAGCCATAGAAACAGGTTCAGTACCCGGATAAACCTCTATTCTAAAATCAACTTCACGATCCAGAGGCAAACCCGATAACTCATCAGGAAAAAACTTTTGGAAACTCCCTAACTGTGGGAATATCATGCAGTCGTACACCCGATAATCGAGTGTCTATCACACTATCAAGAAAATCAACGCATCCTTTAGACATCATTTTCTTTGCGGTCATAGCTGATATCACATTTGACATGGACTGCGACTTCTCCCCTATCACCACAATTTCAGAGCCTTCCACATCCTTTAAGAATAATCGCTTCTAAAGACAATCTACCTATCCATGATGTAGAGACAACCAATCCATACCCAAGATGATTTCGAACTCATCAAAGGGCAACTCCATCAAATTTTCCAAGAATACTACCCCTTGAATCTTAATTGGACATTTTCTACACACCTTAGTTACCTTTGCACTTTGACCCATGGGATTTATCGCTATCATTTCACTAGCAATTGGTTATAAAGGAATTCTTCTAGCTCTAATCAGTGTAGTACTAATGTATGAATGTGAAGAACCAGGATCTACTAGAACAAAAACAGGTTCATCAAAAAGGTGAAATATACTTGTTATGATCTTCGGATCATTCCGATCATCATTAGTCTTAATATTATATACTCGAGCCACTCCCTGAGTCTCTTGTCTTTGACCAACCTCATATTGGCCACCAGATCTTCCTCTCCCTCTGTTTCTATAGGTGATGCTATTGATCTCTCAGATTGTACTGATCTGTCACCATATTTATTCGACAATTTAGCAAAGTGATATTCTTCACCACAATTGAAACAAGCACCAGAAATAAACCTACATACTCCTCTGTGTAACTTGCCATATGTTTGACATTAAGGTTTCTCTCCATGAGCCCTACCCGAACTAGAAGTATAGGACTGGGACTGTTTAGTTTTCCGTGAAACTGTAGAATGATCAGTTCTAATGGTGAATTGAGACCCTGAGCCCTTTCCCCTTTTTGCATAATGTACAGATGAAGACGTTCTGATTCTTTTTCTCATATGCATAATCTGTTCTGCCGCTAGAGTCTCCTCTTGAGCCTTTTCAATATCCTTCGCTCTATTTATTACTTCTAGTAGGCTATATATAGATTTAATGCCAACATCACTTCCTTTAGCTTCAGCCTCAAACCCTCAATGAACCAATCTCGATGAGCTTTATCATTTAGAACAACTTCTGTAGCATAACGACTGAGTTTATTATATTCGGCCTCGTATTCATACACCGCTCTATCCCCTTGCTTTAAACTCAAAAACCTCATTAACATCGATCTCATGAACTGCTCCCCAATATACTTATTTTTGAACTACTCTTGGAAGAACTGCCAGTTCACCTGCTCGGGCAACACATACATCGTCGCGTTTATCCACCATACCCGAGCTGATCCTCTAAGTAATGAAACAGCTCCACCCAGTTTCTCATGATGAGAGCATTGTAAACTTTCCAACATTGCCTTCACGTCATTCAACCATAAGTCCGCGTTCATTGGGCCTTCACTTTCTTCTCCCCTAAACTCAGGAGCTCCTAAACTTTGGAGCTCCCAAACTTCTTAACTCATTTAGGATTAACATTTGTTGTACTGAAAGAGAAGGGGGAGGCGGAGGAGGTTGAAATTGTGTTAGAATATCATTAAGAGCTTGCATAAAAGTTTTAAATTCCAGAACAGGCATGCCCTGAGGTGCCGGTGCACTGGCATTGTCGGACGGAATCGGATGTTCGCTATTATCTTCATAACTCTCACTACCCGATTCGTCTCTACTCTCTCGCCCAACCACTTTTCGTGAGTTTATAGAATCAGACATCGATCATATCATTCATAAAATAATAATTACGTTAGTAAGGAGAGATATCTTTCATATTCATTCTATACCCTATCAGTAACCTTGACAATCTTAGTGCATGTAAACTCTTTTTATATACAATTATACTTGATTCGACCGAGAATCGGCTAACCCTATAGCTCTGATACCAATAAATGTAACATTCATCTCCCGTATACCCATACGTATATGAAGCACATATGTCACATTACTAGTATTAATGTTCCTAATACGAAAACACGTAAAACTTTGTTTCATTTTTATTTTTATAAAAATATTTAACTTTCTTAAAACAAAATATATCTTAACTTAAATAAATAACAAAAGAGATGTTTAAACACTTCATCACTTTACAACCTTTTAATCAAAATACTTATCAAAGTGTTTATACTACACCCTATTACATGCAAACTAAAATATAACAAAATGTAGACATGTGTGTCATACGATTACTGATGAGGCGACTCTGACTGGATGTCCAAAAGATTTCCTTACTCAGCTATACTTAACCTACACATGAAATAAGCACACATTAAGTATTACGTAGTGAGGCATGATTAATCGCAAGTAAAATTCTAAACACAAGTTATTAGATTATACTTCCAATTCCAATGAATCTTTAAATACGGTAGGTAAGTCTGTATATTGTATCACTGATATTTTTAACCTCATTTATCAAACATTACTAGACTCTATAAATTCAATTGGAATTTCATACAATCAATATGATTTTCTTACCATTTTAGCACACAAAGTGCCATATCTAGAAATTCATACACTTAGTATGATTTCCTTACCATTTTAGCACACAAAGTGCCACATCTGGAAATTCATACACTTAGTATGATTTCCTTACCATTTTAGTGCACAAAGTGCCCTATCTGGAAATTTATACACTTAGTATGATTTCCTTACCATTTTAGCACACAAAGTGCCCTTTGGTAATTTACCATACATTCATCCATAAATCATACTATCATGACTATTATAGTAAATACGTACATAATTAAATGCACTTACTTGATTCGCCTTACTAAAATATTCAAACTAGGAAGATTATTACTCCGGAACTTAACCCTTGTCTTTAACCTTACTCGACTCGAGAGCTTGATTTTAATCTATCCAACATTCATTAAATACATGCGCAATGTCAATTGTTAGAATAATTCCTAACACTTATAACTTAACATTAATCAAAATATTTATTTCAACTTCCTATGTCATTATCAGAACGTAAACATATAATTTAATTCTAATAACTTAAGCTACTTAAGAAACAAAATTCACATTTCCCCCCAAAAGGTATCGATACCCCTATGTACGGTACCGATACTTCCCTTTAGAAGGGTATCGATTCACTACTGGGGTATCGATACCCAAATTAAATTCGATGTTTACAGGTATCGATACATGCCTTATGGTATCAATACCCTTGAAGATGTTCATCAAAATTGGTCTTAGGGTATCAATACATATTCATAGGGTATCGATACCCCTTGCTCAGAACAACCTGTTTTTACCCGAAAATTCACTTCACCAAATTTTCATTTACAAAGCCCTTGTTATGCTACCAAACTCCACTATAAACAATTTAACTAACTTTTCTTCATTTAATCACCTAGAACATCTAAAACCATTCGAGAACATTCTATTCTAAGAATCAAACCACTTTTCTAATATGTTTTTAATCAATACCAAGGCTTCTAATCTCTAAATACCTATTTGACAAGTCAAATTTACAAATAAGCATCCATAAACATTCCTATTTCAACATATCTCTCAAAAACCTATTTTTGCTCAATCTCTAATATTTCCTTCATAACTTAGTTTTGATCCCTTTTTATCCTTCCATAAGCTTATAGTATACTCAATGCATCAAAACCCCAATAAAAACCAAGGAGTAAACTAATAAATTGGAAACTCACCTTTGAGTTATGGAGGAAAGTTAAGCACGGGAAGAAGAAGAAGAAGAAGAAGAAATGGAGTTGACAAAGGTTTTTCTCCCTTTTTCCCCACTCTATACTTTAATACAAAAAAAATGAATTTAAAATTCATCTAAATCCCATTTGACTAAAATGTCCCTTCATTCCTTCATTACTACAATTTAGCTCTAAAGTATTATTCCCAAATCATTCTCATCTTATATAAATTAATCAAATAAATTCTAAATCTTAAATCATTTCAATAAAGTCCCTAATTCAACATTTGGGGCATTACACTTGGTACTGATTCCTCTTTTATAGCCAATTACATCAGCTCTGGTTGAGTTTTCTCTGGCTACAAGGTAATCTTTTAGCTTATTTTTTAACAAATTTTTTAAATATATTTTTAAAAATTCATTTTTATCTATTTTTAATCTTTTTTATTTTTTATATATTTTAGATGGCACCATAAAATAACCGAGACCAAGTTGTTAGGTACTACAAAAAATATATACAAATAAGGATCGATATCGTTGGTCAACATGCGGTAAATATTAGTTTTTTTTAAAAATTTTAACTTTATATGTACTAGTTTTTATAATTAATGTTTATAGTTTTCTTGTGTTCCATATTATGATGAATAAATTTACCAGTTACTGTCACTGGAATTTCTTGATGGGTCCGAGTTATGGTGTGTCGTAACGCCTTTATTACAGTTTGTCATTGTAGAGATGCATGTAATATCCCACAAACAGGGCTAGTGACTAAAATAAAAGTTCTTGAAATTTGGTTATCAATTTAGGAAAAAATGAAAAGTTTAGGGACTTAAATATGAATATTTTGGTATTGGATTAAATAACAAGGAATGAAAGAATGAAGGGTAATGTGATCTTTTCATTTAAAGGATATTTATCTCTTTATTAAGAGATAAGCATGTGGGGTGAGAGAGTTTTTGGAAGCTTATTTCTCTTGTCTCTTCTTCTTCTTCTTTTTCCCATTAGCCTCAATTTAAAGGTGAGTTTAATTATAGCTGTTTATTTCTTGAATTTGTAAGTTGGGTTTTGTTATTTAGGTGTTATATAAGCTTAAGGAAAGCTTATATAATATTAAAACATCAAGAGAATAGAATTAGAAAGGAAATTGTAATAAGGGTGTAGAAGTGAATTGTTAATAGGATATAGTTTTTGAAGTTTTGTTGATAAATTTGACTTGTCATAAGAAGGATTAAGAAATATAAAGTATTAGAAATAAGTTTGGAATACATTGAACGTTTACTGAAATTCTTAAATTTAAGAGTTATAGTAAGATTGAAGATAATGAGGTGTTATAGTGATAAAAGATGATTTAAGTATGTATAGTTTTTTAAAGGCATAAAGAGAGTCAAATAAGTAGAGTTTGGGGTAAAGTGTTGAAATTTTGGGTTTAAGGAAATATATTATGGGTAGTAGTATCGGTACTGGTTGAGTTAGTACTGATACTATAATGCAAATTTTGGGATAATTATGCGTAGGGTATCGATATTGCATAAACAGTATCGATACCATAAGGAAGAAGAGTGATAAATCTTCATGAGGCATCGATACTGAAGTGATAGTATTGATACCAGGGGTATCGGTACCAATAGGGAGGTATCGATACCATTCTTGCAATGAAATCACAGAATAGAAAATGGGTATCGATACCGTGGAAGAATATCGATACTACAAGCATAGAAGTATCGATATTGTGCTTGTAGTACCGATACTACTTAAGTTGGAAAGTTGAAATTAGTGTTTTATTTAGTTGACAGTGGTAAGATTCTTTTCGAGTAATTCAAATCCCGATAATTATTGGATTGGATATTCATGTAGATATTGATCGAAAGCAAAGTTCGGATAGGCATTCATAGTAAGATTCGAAAGAGAAACAAGAGATTGGTATTGTCCAGTGAGACCAAGGTGAGTACATGATATTAAGTGTAAGTTATGTTAGGGGATTAAGACTTGCGATGAGTCTAATTCCGATATTAGGTTACATGAGTACATGAATATAAACATGTAATGATATGATGCTTAGATGTACCTAAGTACATGCATATGTCTAGAGGTTAAGTTCATTTTTATATGTGATCTATGTGAATGCATGTATGTGTGATAAATCATGTGACAATGAGCTATGTGTGATAATAAGTTATGTGATCATAAGAGATAAGATATATGACGAAAGATATGTGAAAGTGATATATGTGATTACATGTTTATATAAATACAAGAAAATGTGACATGACATAAATATGATAGTGGGATATGAGACTCTACAAGAATATATATGATATATGTGATATAAAGTTATGAGCTTATATTACTATGTGATATGAATGTGTATATGTGAAAAACATAATGATAATGCCCATGTTATGTGAATTGAGAGCTAGGGATATAGTTGGCATACCAAGAGTCGAGGGTTTTACGTGGTCCTTCGAGATATATATGTAATCCTTTAGAACATATATGCGGTTCTTTGGGACACATATTTGGTCCTTTGGAATATATATGTGATCCTTAAGTAGTGGTCCTTCGGGACATCTATGTGGTCCTTCGGGACATTTCTACGCGTTCTTTCAGGACATATTTTATATGCCCCTAGTGGGAATTATACGAGCTGTGGTGACAGTATATGTGCACCCTTATGTATCTTTAGTTCTCAGAAGTATACATGGGCTTTAAAGAGAATAAATAAAAACTTGGTATGATGTTATGTGTGTTCCTTTGAGAAATGATATGTGTTTTATGATATATAGAAATGATAAGTATAAGATCATATGATAAAAGGAATTAACGATAATAATATAGATAATGATAAGCATGCTAATAATGATATATGTGTATATAAGTCTTGTGTGCATATATGTACATGCATTTGTTAAGTAGTTATAGTTTCTATTATTCTTTTACATGTCTCACTAAGTATATGACTTAGCGTGTGAGTGTTTCACACGTAGGATCTGAGAAGTTTCAAAGAGAAGATAGGCTGTGGAGACAACATAACTTCAACAAAGATTAGATCAGAAAATTTACAGTG